GGTAAGCCCACACAGTTCAGCTCAAAGCAGCTGACCAAAGTATGCATTCCATTTTAAAAATCTTTTCTGTTAGCTCATAAAACCGTGCCCAGATCCTACATATTACAGTACATTTAGATTCAATAGGAAAAGATCTGAACTATAATTCAGGACACCTGCGTTTGAGTCTCAGCTGAGCCATTAACTAGCTGTGTGATCTTGGACAAATCATTTCTTTGACATCTTTCTAAGTTGAAGGATTTAGAAGATTTTCTAAAGCCTCACACTACTAGTCAGGCCAGGCACTTGTTAAGTATTAGAATAAGCTTGATCTCTCATTTTCTGCATGCTGCTCTGTTTTGTTTTGTTTTTTACTAATAATGCTTTTTACGTGTATCACAACACCCTGCTAGATTGTCAGCTCCAGGAGAACACAGAGCAGATCTCATTCTTAGTATTCCCTGGGGGCCCAGCATAGAACATAGTTGTTGATGATTATACCATGGGAGAATAGAATCCCCTTGACATGTTTAAAGAATTGTTACCTATTTTCTTCACTTTGCCTGTTTCAATACCAGGCCCTTTCATCAAATTAGATTTATTTTTAATCATAATTCCCAGGATCAGCATAAAAATATTCAAAATGCTTCTAAATCTGATCTCCAAAGCAATTTTTTTTTTTTTTTTGCTGAACCAGTTTTAAACCCGCTGGAGGGGTGAGGGCTTAGTTCTCTTTCTCCTCGATAAAAAATAAAGCAGCCATCAACAGCAAGAAGGCACCAGTTATTCACTGGGACTTGGTAAAGCAAAGAACAGCTCAGAGGGGCCATAAGCCCTCATAGTTCAGAATTGTGGATTGTGATTAATCCAATTATCTGTGATTCAAATGAGGGCCCCACAGTAGGAGTCAGTAATTGTCAGATCTTGAATAGGAGTATGAATAACCAAAAAGTATTCATTCATTCATTGTGTTACAGTTGCTGAAGCCCTTCTACTTTCAGATCTCTGGGCAGCTCTGCTCAAATTCAACAGTTGTACTCAATTCTGTAAATAATGATTAAGTGCCTATCCTCTCCAGGGCTCTGTGCTAGGACAAGAGGAGGGAGGCAAACAAAGTTTAAGCAAAACCAGATTCCTTTGGTGCTTACAGTCTACTCAACTTGAGTCTATGTTTGGTTAGGTGAGAGGATAGTATGGTTTAGTGAAGAAATTGGCTTGAAGTCAGAGGACCAGCATCCCAATCCCTGTTCTGTTTGTGTGATTTTAGGCAAGTCTCTTAACAGCTCTGTGCTTTCCTTATCTAGCTACTCTTTAAGGTTTCTAACAGCTCTTAATTTGGGGGCCTTAGGTGGAAATGATCATTTACATAAAACCTTGAGGAGCTGAGGCCTGTAAAGAGTAATAATAACTCACATTTACATTTGAGAGAAGCAGGAGAAAGGAAAGCAGATCTGTGATGCAGTGTAAGAAACTTATATGTTATAGAAAATCCCTCTGCCACGAATATCAGCAATTCCTTTGTAATTTAGAACCCCAGAGAGTTGTCCAGGGGGCATTAAGAAATCAATTGACTTGCCTACCCAATCAGTCTTGTCAGAGATTGGACTTGAATCCAGGTCAACCAGACTCCCAAATCAGCACTTCTATCCACTATATTGAGCTGCTTTACATTTACGTAGTAATTTTATTTTTACAAAGTACTTTTTATTTTACAACAATCCTGCAAGGTAGGTAGAAGTATTATTATCCCCATCTTACAAATGTGGAAAAGAAGGCTCAAAGAGGTTTTAAGTGGCATGCCCAAGGTCACACAGAGTGCCAGAGCCCCCGTTAGGACTTAAATACAAGTCAACTAATGTGCAATTCTAGTGCTCATTCAAGCTTGCCCGATGTTACATGGGAAAATCATATGAAATCTAATTTTCAGTCTACTGGCCAATGATCAGGCAACGACGCTACGATGAAGTTGTTGGTATTTTAATTCTTCAGTTTCTCCCTCCTTTCCTACCAGAGTTATATTTGGCTGTATCACTTACTAAATACTATTAATTCCCTTGATTCTTGAAATAACTTTGATAAGTGGGTTGTAAAAAATATTATTCTTCCAATTTTACAAATGGAGAAACTAAAGCTAGAAGACTGAGAGAAAGTTACCCAAGGTCACACAGAGCTAAGAATTCTAACCCAGGATTCCAAACTCCAAATCCGGTGTTCTACTATTTTAGAGTGGCCTTTCACCTCCCCCTCCCTGTTAATTCACTTTCTTTCTTTCCCTCCCACTCCTTCCAACTCTTCCTCACTCTTCAGATTCTCCCCTACAGCTCCTCCTCCCGATCTATTTTCATTCACTCTAGTCACCTTTTAAAAACACTTTCGCAGACCGCACCCACTCCTCAGGAACTCACAACAAGCCATAGGAATTGCACTAGGAAATTCCTGCTTCAGACCCAACTCATTAGAAAGACAATTAAGTAGGTCTTGGATGATGACCAAGTAACCATCACGAGGTACCTAGATTCGTTCCATGCTTTTAAGGAAGACAGTTTCCCACTAGCCAATAGGAGGTGGCAAGAACTGAACTCTGATTCGAATCCACTGGAACTTGCTCCAGCCCTGGCTGCCCGTCAGCCCAATTACCCCTGGCACTGGGGTACCCCAGCGATCTCGCTGGCTTTACGCAATAGATGCTGTTTTTATCCAAGTCTTAAGTAAAGCCTGCATGTCCTACTGTTGAGAAAGGCGCACGGGGTGGAGGGGGGGGAGGGGAAGTGGTGTGGGAGAGGGGGAGAGTGAGGGAGGGGGCAGAGGGGAAGGGAGGGGAGAAGAGGGCGCGGGGAGGGAGTAAAAATAGCCGGGCTCATCTCGCAACGCTAGCTTAGGTGCGCTGTTGCTTTTGTGTTAGCTACCCAATGCAGACTGCGGAAATCGGAGCCGCTGTCGCCCTTTCCCAGCCAGACATTGCGCATCCAGGATGGGGAGGTGGAGAGAGTTTACATAGGAGCGGAAACTTTATTTTAAAAACAAAACGAGGAGAGGCGGGAAGGATGGTGGCAGTAGCTTCTGAGAATCTCTTTCTCAGGCATCCTGAGGCTCCCCCCCCTTCTCGTTGCGCACCGCTCCCCGCACCCCCCTTCCGCCTTCTTTCGCCTCCCAGCAGCCTGTTGGAGGCTGGGTCCCGCTACGTGCCTGGCTGACCCACACTTTACAGAGGTTCAGTCCGGGGCTCTGCGCTATTTTTAGAAACCTCTGCTACAAATGTCAAGAAGACAAGGATGGGCAAGCAGAGAGACTGAGCTTTAAAGGGCTAGTAACGGAGCCAACGCAGCTTTGCTTCCTTGATGTATAAAACAGATGGCATATATGAAGGATCATCCCGACTATCTAGCAAGTGAAGCATTTTGTAAATTAGTTATCTGAGGATTTAGGGGTTGAGGAGAGAGAAAAGGATCGGTATCCTAGAGTCTACCTTATACGAAGACCTTATTTCTGACAAACCTCACAGCTGCATTCATGCACCTCCCCCCACCTCCCACATTTCAGCCCCCGGAGCGTGTGTGACTGACAATTCCCAGATACATGTACTTCTGGTATCTTTCAGGGAACAGGATTTTGCGTCCCTTGCAGCCTCTTCGGAGAAATTGAGATGGGTGCTTTATGTGGGGTTGCTGCAGGTGTTAAGGAACGAGAGTTATAGGGATAAGAGGGAGAGATTAAGAAATAGTTCTCTCACTCTGTTCCCGGTCCCCACCCCTCCCGGCGCTTTTGGGTAGCAATATGTGAAATGTGCGGCAGCCCTACTGGATTGCAGGCTATTAATAGAGCCTGGAGTTTTCTCTATTTCTTTTTCCTGCCGGCAAGTAGGGGGGCAGTCTCCACACTCATACCCCAAGCCCTCACCGACTTTCGTATGCCGCGCTCTTCTGGGAACCTAACCCCATTCATGACCACAGGTGCCCTAATGCCCCTTAACTCATTACAGTTGTAAAGACGTGAAGGTCAGTGACGCTCGCCACTCTAGTTAGGAGCTGCTTGTAGGAAGAAATCGCAGGCCGAGGGTTGGTTCATAAGACAAGACTAGCTCTCCGGGTCGACTTGAACGTAAAATTGAGGGGAGTGGGAGAGAAGGCGAGTGGGGGAGACGTGGGGCCTTAGTCAGGAACAAAGATAGAGCTGCAGAGAGGCAGAGGACATCAGCCCCAGGAGTTTATAGAGGGAGTCAATAGCTGCAGTCACATATTTCCCAGGCCCCAAATTCCAGGGAACTGCAGGGGTGCTGTCCCTGGGACTGAATTAAGAAGTCTGTAGCTATAACCAACCCAACCTCACGCTCACTTCCAGAGGCACTTAGACCAAACCAGGATTACAAATTTGTAACCCTCCCAGCCCTGGCTCTGAATGGGTAGGACCTATCCGTGGTCCTGAAGTAGTACCCAGAGTACTCAGGAGTCAGTTCCGGCCGCAAGACTGTCTGGTGAGGACCTAAGGACCCAGAAGGGCTACATCAAAAGACAGCTAGACCACTGCAAGCGGGGAGAAATTGAGTACTTGATTTTTCATCCTGCCTTGCCTCCCCCCCCAAAAAAATATGCAGAACCTAGAGTAAGAGAAGAGAAAGACCTGCAGCCAGAGAGCCGCAAAGCCAGAAACAAGAGGATGAAGAGCTTGCAGGCTAATGGTATAAGAGGGTGATGGGGGTGATATCTGCTTCTTTGCATTTTCAGGGGGGAGGGGAACTGGTACATGCACTGCCTCGCTTTCTCTTATCCCTCCTCCTACCCCCGACGAGAGAGAGAGAGAGAGAGAGAGAGAGAGAGAGAGAGAGAGAGAGAGAGAGAGAGAGAGAGAGAGCGCAACAGCAGAAGCAAGCAGGATGGAGCTAGGGAAAGTTTGGCACTTGAAACGGAGCAGCGGTAGTGGTAGCAGCAGCAGCAGCAGCAGCAGAGCAGCAGCAGCAGCAACGTAGTGGTTCCAGATCTGAGCGGCCGGGGTCGCCAAGGACCTTGGCTCTCTCGCCTTCTTACCTCGGTGTTCTCGGCAGCGTTCTCCGCCATTTTCCTCCTTAGGAGCAGGCAGCGGGAAGAGTGTTTCATGCCCATAAGAGCCAGCAAGGGGTTGGAGATATATAGATAGTAGAGAAAGGGAGAGCTGTTGTGGCTTTAAAAATAAGGGCCCCTAAAAACCCCACCCCAAAACAAAACCCAAAACTAAACACTGTATCTGGAGCACACACGGGATAAAAATCAACCACGGTTGAGTCTTTTCAGCAGTCTCCACTTTCTTTTATTTTCCTCCCTTCTCATTTGCTTCTGATTCCTTCACACACTTTCAAGTTCTTCTCTTGCATCCCCACCCCCCCACCCCCACCCAGCCCCACTCCACACACGTTGCGGGTCTGCTTAGGGAGGTAGCCTCAAATGCACAGCTGCTTCTCGCCCCGCTTCTGGGGAAGTACAGCAGCCCAAAGGCAGCCAGCAACTCCTCTTAACTTCTGCAGCTCGGCTGAGCTAAGCAACACCCCTTTCTCCTTGCGTCTTCTCGGGGGCTGAGCTGGGTGAGTGGGGGTGGGGTGGGAGGTGGAAGTGGTGAAGGCAGGCCACGGGGGCACCGAGAGGCGGCGGGGCAGGGGCTAGTCGCCCCCTAACCTTTTACCCTCGTTCCCGCCTCCCCCGGTTTCCTTGTTTCTCTCTGCCAAAAGAAACACTTCTAGGCTCTCCGAACAACTTGCGCTGGAGGCGAGGACATAGCTCAGGAGACTCGGACGCTTCCCTTCTACAGTAAAACGAGATGGAGCGATCAGCAATCTCGGGCACTGGACTTGTATCTGGCTTTCTGAGTTAACTAAATATCCTCCTGTAGAGAAACGATATGGGGGGGGCGGGAGAGGGAGAATCTATCCTACCCCCAAACGCCCCCCCTTCCTCTCTTCTTTCTCTTATCTCTCAGTCTCTCCCCCCACGCCGGACAAACCTTCACTGAATTACAAATAGGGGAATGGAAAATGGGAGAAATTGGTTAGCAGCTTCTTTTTGCCCCTTGACTGTCCAAAACTGATGGGGTCCTCACAACTATAAAATTAGACGGAAGGGACTATGGGGTAAAAGACGCTGGTTGGGGGTAGGGAGACAGTTGGAGAAGGAAGTTTAAATATAAATTCCTGCGCCTCTCATCTCCGCCCACAACCCCCCCACACACACACAACGTGCACACAACGTCTCCAGGAGATTTCTTAGACCCCCCCCACACCCCAACATACACACGGTTCTTCTTACCCATTCTCCTCGCTGCCACCCCCCTTCCCCCGCCAAGATTTTGGAATTTTTTTTCCTGGGAGAAAGGGAGGGTATCACACACCAGTTAAGATTCTCTTGCTCATTTTGAAAAGAGTATGGGCAGAAGAGAGAGTGCATCATTATACAATGCATTACAGTCTTCACTTTTAAAATATCTCTTTCCATATTACAAGCCATCTGTTGGAAGGGGGTTGGCACGGAGATAAAAAGAAATACTGAGAGAAGGGAGACCCAGTACCATCACATACCAGAACTCTCCTCCTTTCCATTATAACAGGCTTCCCTGGTCACTGCCTTCAAAGATAGACAGTTTTCAGCCCACAATCAATATGAAATTAGAAAGTGCTCACTAACTTTCCTTTCCACCATTCTTTGGGAATAACAGTTCTTCACCTGTCCTGTTTTTATTCTGATTTACAAATCACTTCTGCCAACACTGTATTTTCATCTTCGTGCTTTCCCCCAATCTCATGGTGACAAGGCAGGTGCCTTGCCTAAGTTAAAATAAAAGAGTTGAGGACCTGCTTTATCTGGGCGTAAGTGGAAGCTGACAAACAGTGGAGAATAGCAGCTTGTATGACCATGGGTCATAACAGCATTAAAGTTAAGTGGAAGCAGAGAGCCAAATCAAGTGTAAGAACCCACCTCCTGATCCCTGTTGGCTTAGATGCTGGAGGAGGAGGTATAAAAGTCCTTTTCTTCATATTATTCCCCATTCCCCAACATCATCCTTTGCATAACTATATCAAAATAAAAGATAGATTGCCACTTGTGCATTGCTGATTCTTTTAGTAATTTGCTGCCCTCAAGATACTGAAAGAATCAGATAAGTGTCTCCAGTTCACTCAGTGGTTCCTCTATGGAGAACTTATGGAAAGACATGAGGAAGAATCACACAGTGATTCACAGCAAACATCAAGAAATTGTACCCTGGAGTGGGTAAAGGGAGTTCCCCTAACCAGTGAAATAAAAAAATCATTCAAAGTGTCAAAGTGTTATATCTTACCAACACACAGAGGGGCTGAGGTTAACATACAAGGAGGAAGGGGGTTTCCAAACCAAGAATATCAATTCTAAGAACCTTCCTCTCTCAGAGACAAAGATGCCAGAAGGTGATCTAGCAAAGTTTTGGGGTCCTCACACAACACCAACTGTCATCTGGTTCAACCACTTCCCATTTTGAAGATGAGGAAACTAAAGTCTACAGGGGTGGTGTGACTTGTTTTAAGGTTATGCTACTAATTAATGATAGGGACAAGACTCAAACACAGGCCTCCTGATGCTCATTCTATCTAGTGTTCTTGCCATTACAACATGAGGCTTCAAATCGTGCATCCTCTAACAGATAAGTAGGGGGAGCTGAAACAGACTTCCACCAAAATAGGCTGTTGCCTGTGCACAATTATGTTGCTATGAGAACCTCAGTGGGTGTGTTTCCTTGATTCTCTGCTGAAATCTTGTGCTTTTCTTGGCTTTTCCCCAAGCACAAACTCAGCTTCTCTTAGAGTGGAGAGAGAAGAGTGTTGCATTCACATGGCATTCCTATTCAGAACCATCCAATTCATAAGCTTCCTGGGTTGGGAAGGGAGGAGGTTGAGGCTACCCAGAGTAGTAGCATGCTGGGGGGAGAGTGATGTCATAGACCCTTACTAAGTCAGTGTCAAGGTATTTTTTAAGTGGCACTAAGACTCTTGCATGATTGAGCAGTGCTGTAAGGCTTCAGTCTATCCTAGACACAGAGAAATTATTCACTTTCTACTTTTTGAAATTTAAGAAAAATGAGACCTACCCCAACCCCCCAAAGAATCTTCCCCAGTGATCTTCACTCCCTACACAGCCTAAATTTCATTTGAATCTTATACCTGGAAAAGACACTAGACAAGGTCATCTGATGTAATCTTTTCACTCAAAGTAGAAATATTTTCTAAAGCATCCCCAATATTGTGACCCATCTTTGGAACTTTTTCTTTAGTCACCTTCCCCTTAATACACTAATGCATGAACACCTTATTAGATAAACTAGAATCACAGGATCTCATAGTTAAGTGGACTTCAGAAATGAACACCAAGTTTTGGGAGCCATGATAGGCGGGATACAGAGAAGGGTGAATAAGATGATGAATGGTCTTGAGATCATGAAGTTGAGGGAACTGGGGATCTTTAGCCTGAAGAAATGAGTTGTTGAGGGAAGGGAAGAAATAAGAGGGTCAGGAGGAGGGGACATGATGATTGTCTTCAGGTATTTTCAAGGAAAAAAGGGATATTTTCAAGTAGATTTATTCTGAATGTCCCCAGAGAACAAAACTAGAAACAATAGGTGGGAGTTGCAAAGAGGCAGGTTTTGGTTTGATGTAGGGACAAAGCTTCCTAACAATTACAGCTGGCCAGAAAAGCCAATGACCTACTTCAGGAGGCATTGGGTTACCTCAAAATAAGAACCTTTAAGGCTCCTAAGACTTGATAACCACTGGGTGAGTGTGTAACAGAAAAAAAAATTTGTTCAAGTATGGATTGGACTAGATCATTTAGTCCAACCATAATACCTAAGCCCATCCTACTTGAACAAAAAAATGCAGTGAACAATCCTCCCAACGAGTTGTCATCCAGCCTCTTGTCCAGCATTCTCCCATTGTGAAAGTGAAAGTGTCATACACCCAGGACTCAGATATTGGTGACATGGAGACAGTGAGTCCTCAGATCAAAGAATCAAGCTTCCAAGAGTATGTAACACCAACCCCTCCATAGCTAATGTTGCTTGTTTAACGTTCCATGAAACAAATAGACATGAGTCAAGCCAAGTGACTGCAGCACCTGACTGTCAAAGCAACCCTTAAATCAATCAAACACATGGTCATCCTACTCTAGGAAAGGAACCACTTCACTCTGCCTATTTCCCAGGTTACCTTTTTCTGAGGTGAAATTTCTCTAATAGGCAACCAGGCATTTGCTCAGTGGTAGAACCTGCACTACTTGAACTTCTTTTTATTAGAAAGTGAAGAGGAACAAAGGGAAGGGTAGCAAAGGGGCTAGATGAACAACAATAACCCTACTGATCCTGAAAAGTCTTCTAAGTGGTCTAGCTTTCTTGAGTTTGTCCTACATGCTTAATAGAAGCCACTCAATCCTGCTTTTTTCCTCCTCTTTCAAATCCTTCATACAGGGACATTTTTGTTTGTCTGCAAAATCTCTCCAACTAATCAATTCATCCTTTGTTGGACAGTGTCATAGACTATTAGAGCTTAACTCAACCTTAAGAGATCATCTAATCCAACCCTCATATTTTACAGATAAGAAAACAGAAGTCCTAAGAAATTAAGTGGTCTCAATGTTCAAACATAATCACCTATTCTCAATCCCCATCATAAGTTACTTTACTAAAACTCAGGTCCTATCATGTCACTCCCCTCCACCCCACTCAATAAACTTCAGTTGCTCCCTATTCACTCTAGGTTCCTCAAACATAAATTTATCTGCTTGAAATTTCAAGTTCTTTCCTACCTGGCCCCTTGCTACCTTTCCAGTATTATCACACATTACTTTCCTCCACTCTTTCTGTGATTCAGCCCTACTGGACTTCTTGATGATCACTCCTCAGCCACTAATTCCCCCCATCTTCCCATAAAGTTACCTTGTATCTATTTTGTATGTGTTGTTTATGTTTCTATATATGTACATGTTCTCTCCTCTGTCAGAATGACAAAACAGAATGAAACCGGAACTGTTTCACTTTTTTAAATCTTTTTTAAAAATTTTTTAAATTTATTTTTAGTTTTCAACATTCATTTCTATAAGATTTTAAGTCCCAAATTTTCTCCCAATTTTTCCCCTCCCCCACTGTAAGATAGTGTGCAATTTGATATAGGCTTTACATATTCATTTATATTAAACATATTTTCACATTAGTCACATTGTAAAGTACCAATGAGAGGAACCACGAGAAAGAAGAAACAGGAAAAAAGAGAGAGAGAACAAATAATATGCTTTGATCTGCATTCAGACTCCATATTTCTATTTCTGGATGTGGATAGCATTTTCCATC